ATATATATATATATAATATACGTATATATAAAATTTATATTTATATGGAAATATTTGTATATTTATACGTACAAATACATACATATATATATATGTATATATAAAATATATACTTATATATAAATATTTGTATGTTTATACGTATAAATAATAAAATACAGATATAGTGACGCAATTGCGTCACTAAAAGGTGACTAAATTGCGTCACCAAAGGGTGACGCAACTATTTGCGTCACTCTTGCGTCACCTTTTTTCGTGACGCAAATTTTGCGTTATTTTTTGCGTCACCGTTTAGTGACGCAACTATTTGCGTCACTATTTAGTGACGCTTTAGTGACGAAAATATTGCGTCACTATTTGCGTCACTTTTGCGTCACCATTTTAGTGACGCAAATTTTGCGTCACCTTTTGCGTCACCTTTTCTGTGTTTTCTAGTAGTGATTGCATACATAAAGTCATTATCTTCTATCACATCTTTAAGAGATCGTGTTGCATCAGAGATAAGTGAAGACCGTAGCCAATTCTGTGAAAGAACCAATGCTTCGACCATATCCGGAGTTAAGCTACTCCTATATTGGTCTAGAATGCGACCTCCTGTACTAAAAACTGATTCTGATGCAACCGTCGAGACCGGAAATGCCAATATATCTCTCGCCATTTGCGCTAAGATCGAAAATTTTCCACTGTGCATCTTCCACCACGTTAGAATATCAAACTCCATATTCAGATTGTTAGATCTTGCCACTTCAACCTTTTCCATCAAGTAAAGATCTAACTCACTTAGTGACCCCTCTATGTCTCCTACATCTGCCATCATTTGACTGAATGAAGCAAAAAGATTATCATATTTCTCGTAACCAATGCCAAGATCAATATCATCATTAGTTGGTACAACATATAACTCGGTGTTACCAACTGATCTATATTCACTTCCACTCTCAGCCACACTTGGTGTTTTGTACCATGTATGATACGAATCAAACAACCTCCGCAGCACATCAGTGACGCTCTTTTTCATCTCATCACATTTAGCATTATCTTTACCATATATCTTCTCGAAGCAATGAGTTACAAAACTCATTTTGCTTCTTGGATCGAAGACAGCAGCAATAATCAATAACTTATTAATTTTTTCTGTCCCCTCCCAATATTTGTCATACTTCCACTTCATACTCTTAGCCATCGTACTCAAATTCTGATCTGAGTTGTCAATCAACGATGCTAAAACAGATTCAACTCTTAGAATCTCATTATAACAACCACTCGAAGTGACTTTTTTTGTAGCAGAAAAGACCAGAGTTGAATCATAAAAAACTTTCAAGATATGTACTAACCGTCGAGCATTATCCCAATCGCTTTCCGACGGCGGACCAATCCTTTTTTTACTGGATCTTGACTCATCATCTTCATGAAAATATGCCTCATACAATTTGTCTTCGACTTCCATCCTCTCAAATGTTTCTCTGTACTTTAAAGCCGAAGTCAACATAAGAAAAGTTGAATTCCATCGAGTTGTGCAATCCAAGACAAGGCTTCCCCTAGTAAATTTACCACTTCCTTCTCGGCTTTTGAATGACTGTAACCTAGCATCCGATGATCTCACGTACTTAATAGCATTTCGAATGCCGATCACACTATCGCCCATGTCCGACAATCCTTCTTTTACAATCAAGTTCAATATATGCGCTCCACAACGCATATGTAGGTACTCACCATTCAGTACAAGAGTATTCACATTCACAAAACTCAAGCGATGCTTCAAAAGTCTAATAGCACTATCATTTGCACTAGCACTATCAACGGTTATAGTGAATACTTTGTCGATACCCCAATCATTCAAGCATTTCTCAAATTGCCTAGCAATAGTCTCTCCTTTGTGATTTGATATAGGGCGAAAACTGATTATTCTCCTATTCAACCTCCAAGAAATATCAATAAAGTGAGCAGTGACAACCATATAGCTCACTGTTGTAATTGATGTCCAAATATCCGTAGTAAACGAAACCCTCTGCTTATTATCATTCAGCAAACTCTTCAAGGCATCTTTCTCACTCAGAAAAAGTTGATAAACTTCCTTCGCTATTATTTTCCGTGAAGGGATCACAAACGTAGGGCACGCAATACTGCAAAAATGTCTAAACCCAACACCCTCAACAAATGCAAATGATAACTCATCCAATATAATCATTCTAACCACTGCCTTTCGACATGCATCTTGACTAAACCCAATAGCAACCAGTTTAGCATCGCCACAGCCTTCAGGCTTATCTTTGATCAAGACTTTCTGTGATCCACTTTCAACAAGTTTCTTGTAAACCTTGCAGCTCTTTTCTATGTGGCTCTTTAAACTACTAGTCCCCGAAAATGATGACCCATTCAACTCAGCACCACAATAGTTGCAAGAGCACTTGTTTGGGTTGCTAGGAAGTTTAGTGAAATGATCCCATACCTTTGATCTCACAGGGACCACCCTCTTTGAAGATTCATGTTTCCTCTTATTATTAGTTGTTCTGTCTACTTCATTTACGGCCACTAACTGCTGTGGATTATCATCATCCTGTTTGACAAAGAAAATCATTATTATTATTAATACATATTTTTTTTTGTATGAATCATTAATACAGATTATTAACACAAAAATAAAAGCCACATAATAATTCAGATTTAAGAGAATATGAACTAATGCATAATCTTAAAAAAAAAGAGAATAAGATGAAGAAGAAGTCACAAAACCCAAAAGAAGAAACATAAACAAACTAAAAAATATTTAAAATACAGAAGAAGCACACGACACGAAGCATGGAGAGAGAAGAAATTGTCACTTTATGTAGTTTTGAAAAAAAAAATAGATAGAGGAACGATGAATTTGGACCAAACTCATAAACCACATAACAAAGGCTTTAATCTTCGTGACAGAAACAATGGACCAAAAATGCTTCGACAGAGAAGATAACCTGAGACGCCATGAGAGAGATGAGTAATCGTGTTGGTCGTGAGGAAGAGAGAGTGAATCGCGTCGGAGAACAGACCGCCGGCGTCGAACACCGCACACTCCAATCGCAGATTCGCAGTAATAGTTTAGGGTTTTTACCGTGAAAGAAGGGGTGGGACTGTGGGAGAGAGTTGATAGAGAGACTGAGACAAACGGCCGTAAAGAAGAGTTGTAAAAGTAAAACAACATAATATATACCTAGGGTAAAAACTAAAAAAAAAATATCAATAACCGTTCGGTTAACCGCGGTTATGCGGTTATTAACCGAACCGAACCGAACCCGAACGGTTATTCAACATTCACAACCGATCGGTTATTTACCAAATAACCAAACCGAACCGAACCGAACCGTTGTTATTCGGTTCGGTTCGGTTCGGTTATTCGGTTAATAACCGAATTGGCCACCCCTACCTGCGACCTACGACATGTGACCGTGATTTCACTACATCCATATAACTACGACTACGACCAGATAATTGCGACCGTGATTTGACTACGACTAGCGAACTACGACTACGACCAGATAATTGCGACCGTGATTTCACTACGACCATATAATTACGACTGTGGTTTCACTACGACCATATAACTACGACTACGACCATATAATTACAACTGTGATTTCACTACGACCATATAACTACGACTACAACCAAATAATTGCGACTGTGATTTCACCACAACTATCTTTTAGAAATCGGAACGTTTTGTTATTTGATCTTATTTTTTCTCTAACATTTTCTCTATCTCATCTATTTCTTACAGTTTATCTAATCTATTCAAATACTCTTCTGGTTGATTCCTTATTCTATGATATTCTGATCATTTTTTTGTATGTACATAAGGTGTTTGATGAAATGTCTGTAAAAAAAACTGTAGAAGATGACCTGCCGTCTGTGAAAAATGTCCTACGTTCTACGGTAAATGACCTATAGCCTACGGCAGATGACCTACGGTCTGCCAGATAACCTGCGGCCCGCGGCAGGTCATCTTCGGCACCTATGGCTTGCGGTAGGTCACCTACGACACCTATCACACCTACTAATTTGCAAGTGTTTTTTTACGAAATCTATGCAAGTGTTTTTATACTTATATAAGAAAACAAAATTCATATAAGTGTTTTTTCATGTATGCAGAGGAAAACCAAATTCATGCAAATATTTTTTGTGACAATCTATCTTTTAGAAATCATAACGTTTTTCTATTTGATCTTATTTTTTTTTTCAACATTTTCTTTATCTCCTCTATTTCTTATAGTTTGTTTAATCTATTCAAATACTCTTCTACTTGATTTTTTTTCCTGTGATATTCTGATCATTTTTTTGTATGCACATAAGGTGTTTGATGAAATGTTTGTAAAAGAAAACTGTAGAAGATGACTTGTCGTCTGTGAAAAATGACATACGCTCTGCGGTAAATGACTTACAGCCTATGGCAGATGACCTATGGTCTGTCAGATGACTGCGGCCCGTGACAGGTCATCTTCGGCACATACGGCTTACGGTAGGTCAACTACAACACTTGCCGCACCTGCTAACGTGCAAGTGTTTTTTCACGAAACTCATACAAGTGTTTTTCTATACTTATATAAGAAAACAAAATCCATATAAATGTTTTTCATGTATGTAGAGGAAAACCAAATTCATGCAAGTGTTTTTTTTATAAATACAGAAAATCTGCAGGTTATAGTAATATAGAAGGGTATGATGGTCATTTTAACTTAAAAAAGTATAGAATACAAAGATTACAATAGTAGAAATATAAAATCCAAAGATGTTTTTTTTGGTACATTTATGCAAATTTTTTCTAATTTTTTTCCTCTTTTCCATTCACCGAGCAATATATATATATATATATATATATATATA